AAGGATTCCTTGGACAGCTTTGGTTTGCAACAATCGAGCTGAGATGGTTGAGCTTCTTGAAGGCAAATCGGTGGTTTAACAAAGGATTCATAAGTAAATTTGATATGATCATATATATATATTATTTGTAATTTAATTTCATATTCAATTCGGTATGAAAGAGATTCTAGGAAGGTGATGCATAATTTAATCTTAAATCTATTTTTGCTGCGTTAATTTGTATTTGATGTATGATCAGCCCTCACCCAATATTAGGAGAGTTTGACATGATTAGATATAATAGAGACACGAGTTTTTAACGTATCAATATAATTAATACATGAAACATGACAACTCTAAATTCAAATTCGTTTAATTTGTCTTCTTGTATTGTGTTAACTAGTTGTATCCAAAATTATCAAGTGCAAGTGTAGTGAAATCACATTGGACCTTGACTATAGCATCCCCACTATTCTTTTCTTTTCTTTCTTAAAATACCTCTATACATCCAAACCTTTATGTTTTTTTGTTTTTAGTTTTGAATTTTTATTTATATTTAAATTAGCTTATCTAGGTTTAATTTTAGATTTCATATGTTTAATATTTTTTAAATGATATTCACAAATATGTTTCTTTAAATGTTAAAGATTTTGAGATATTTTATATTCTTTATATATGTATTGAGTTATTACTTTATCACTTGTAAATTTTTTTATTGAATTAATTTTTCATAATTTAAATAGTCAAGATCATTTCCTTAATTATATCTTCTTGCTTTTTTACCATACCTCGCCAGGCCTCAGTGCCAATTAAATATCAAACGTCATTCATGTTTCAATCTAATTATTATGCTAATGAAAATATTTTACGTGCAATTTTTTTACCATTATTTTATAATTACCCAATCTCAAAACATAAAGTATACACAATCTGTTAATTATAAGTGTAAACTTTATATAATAAAATTTTACGTAATAAATAGTTGTGATTGAATTTGTCAATATCATTTGTTTTGAATTTCTATTTTAAATTAATGCAAAATTTTTAATTTAATAATTAATGCATTATGACTTAAAACCCTAATTAAAAAAAAAAAAAAACA